CCGCCCCCCCCCCCCCCCCCCCCCCCCCCCCCCCCCCCCCCCCCCCCCCCCCCCCCCCCCCCCCGGGGGGGGGGGGGGGGGGGGGGGGGGGGGGGGGGCCCCCCCCCGGGCGCGGGGGCCCCCCGGCCCCCCGCCGCCCGTCCCCCCTCCCCCCCCCCCCCCGCGCCGGCGCCGCCCCCCCCCCCCCCCCCCCCCCCCCCCCCCCCCCCCCTCCTTGGGCCCCCCCCCCCCCCCCCCCCCCCCCCCCCCCCCCCCCCCCCCCCCCCCCCCCCCCCCCCCCCCCCCCCCCCCCCCCCCCCCCCCCCCCCCCCCCCCCCCCCCCCCCCCCCCCCCCCTTTTCCCCCCCCTTTTTTTTTCTCCTTTCTCCCCCCCCCCCCCCCCCCCCCCCCCCCCCCCCCCCCCCCCCCCCCCCCCCCCTTTTTCTTTTTCCTTTTCTCCCTCTTTTTTGTTTGTTAGTTCCACATTTGAATGCGTATCCCAAGTCACAATCTTGTCTTGACCGATGATATAAGTTAAATTAACATTTTAATTTTATGTAGATATGAAGTAAATTAACATGAACCTTAAACATAATTGAGATGACATTTGATAGATGACAGCTAACACCTGTCACTGTTAAGTAGGACGCGGGAAAGTTATCTATATATCTTAATTTGTAAAGTTAATATTTTTAGGGTCAACATGTTCTCAAAATGATACGGACCTAATAAAATTGAAGATGGAATTAATCAACTATCAACTAGAAACTGCGAAAGTAAGAATTCATTCAAAGTCCATATTATAAACTGTATCCATATATTACGTACTTACATATGAAATCGCTCTAGACCACTGCTGCTTCACGACAACGCTAGACCACTCACTGCTCAACAGACTGCTACCAAATTAAAGGAACTTCAATTGGAATGTCTAAGACATTCACCGTACTCCCCGGACCTTGCTCCAACATATTACCATTTTTTTTTAAATTTGGATAACTACTCGCAAGGTAAAGTAATTCAACTCTGATGGGGCAGTCGAAACCGCCTTCTATGATTTTAGTGATTCCCGGCCGAATGGTGTTTTTAGTAAAGGGATCAATGAACTACCTAAGATGGCAAAAGTGCATACATAGTAATGGTACATACTGTGATTAATTAAATATATTTTATTTAAAAAAAATCTACCTTTTGTTCCTCCCTTACAAAACGCCAATTTCATATGTAAGGACCTAATATAAAACATTCAAACTTCCTTTTTTTTAAATATAGAATACCATATGTTTAGAAACCAATGCTAATCAGCCAGTACAGTATCTACCTTAATTCATAAAATATGATTTTCTAGCTGGAGAGACAACGCGTAGAAGACGCTATAAGGGCAGATAAAGAAGAACAAGAGTCTCGAGCGATTGAAAATTCGTTGCGCTTGCGCACAGCGAGGCTTAAAGCTTTAGCTGCTGAAAGGAAATTAAACGAAGATCATCACAATCGTTTAGGATATACAGAACAAGAAGTACTAGCGATGGAATATATAAAAATGTCTACGAATGTTACTTAATAAATTATTATTGTCTTTTTATTTGTGTTTTTATTAAAAAATTACTACTCATATTCCTAAAAGTGGCGCTACGACCTAGATCTGGGCTTCAGATTACTGTAGCCGTTTGGTGATCATAGTTTTTAATAGACAAGAAGGTGATCAGCCACACGCCGCGCGCCGTCGACTTTTTTGTGTCTAAGGCATGCCGGTTTCTTCACGATGCTTTTCTTCTTACCGTACATGCGCGCATCGTGGTTGTTAAATGCGCACATAGCATAGACCGAAAGTCTACTGTTGCTGGGGTAGCACGCTGAAACCATGAGGCCAACGCTGCTAATCAAAATAAAACTCGTGAAAAAATGGTATAATAAATAATTATTGTGACATCTATGGACAGAGTAGTGACAGCGGCTATCTGTTGACAGATAAGACAATTGGACCGATTTCATTGATTAATTGATTTTATTTATACTGCGAAGAAGTCGTACGTTACATAGGCACAAAGAAAAGTACGTGTTACTTACTGGTCATTAAGTAATAATGAAGCCTTAAGCCAAACCTCCTTATAAAAACTAAATCATTTCCACTCTTAACTTAGTTACACATACATCTCTCTGTTAAATTGTGTTTACGCTGTGATGAAAAGAGACATGAGAAGGGCCAGTACTAAAGTTAAAAGAGAGAAAGACAAACCAATAAATATTAGTTAATAGTAAGTATATGATTCAGTCGTAGTCTCACTTGGTTACTATGTTACGTAACAGTTTCTTCAAACTCTCAATTAAAAGGCGCTACAAAGCTTGATCAGGTCTCAAAATTTTCTTATGGCGCGTCTAAACGGGCCATGTTTTGCTGCAATTGATGGCTGCACTGTTGGCCACTAATTGCCCGGCCATTACAAAAATATTTTAATGCAGCTGATGGCCGAACAATCTATAGCTGGGCAATGTGTTGCAATAGTATGGCCCATGATGCAGACTCCTAAACGGGCTACACAAACCGGCAACAATGGCTGACGAAATCACACTTGTCGCAGCAGCTTATATTGTTTTTAAAAAGACACAGAAAAAGAAGAGATTGTGGATTCGACCTTACTTAAATAGGCGTGAAACTGTAGACAATTTGAGTCTAGAAATAAGTCTTGATAATAAATTATTCAAGAACTAGAATGTCAAAAGTAGTCATTTTTACGTAGTAATCTAACGTCAAATACAGCTGATCGCAAAACACAGAATAAAGCAACACGCACACTTCACTCAAAGCAAACGTCATGTCGCGTAGAAAAGGATACACTATGCCATAACAAAGAGAGTGACTGAAACAACAAGAGAACTGGCTGTGCAATATTGCAGTTGAATTCGATAGCCTAGCGATCGTCCGGCCACCCATCGGGGCAACATCGGCCATATGTGGCTATACAAAACATGTTTGGCTATATGGCCGGGACATTACTGCAATATTGCATAGTGTGGCTGCTATTGTTTGCAATGTTGCCGGCCACAGTGTTGCAGCCATCAATTGCAGCAAAACATGGCCCGTTTAGACGCGCCATTATAATTTTTTTTGCAAGTGGTCAGTCTTTTGCTCCTCATCGAGCGCCATTTTTCAATATGGCAACCTTCGGTCAATACTTAGAAACGAGACTTTTACATTTTTGTTATATTTTAGTGCGATGAATACGTCATACTGTATGTCAACATTCATGCGAGAGCGGCAAATCTACGAGACGGCTTCATGAAATCTTTAATCTATGTTCTGTAAGTTTTGAAATAACACAGCATCTTTTCCCTTTTTTCAAAATCAATAATTGTAGTCGAATTTGCGATAAATCAATTAAATACCCTCATTCTCGTTCTGGTTGTTCGTTCGTTCTCGTTGTGATAACTTTATCGACATGACAATGTACATATTCAGGCGCGAAATGCGGATAGGATAAGGTAAAATAAAACGTCAAAATAAATACGAAATTCTGTATATTTAACTTGATTGCGTTTTACAAGATGATTAAATTATAATACAATCGATAAAATTATTTAATATGCATTTTGTACAATTTCATCTAAACCTAACTAAAATACAACATCTAGGAAATATATTACACATAGCTAATATACAACATGATTTTTACACTGATATACCTACGTTTATTCATCAAATGCCGGTATCACTTTTAGCTTGATGCGTTTTAATGTAATAGCTCATAGCGTACAATGAAACTCAGATTTCCGTAACGATATGTCAATCCCAAATATTTACTAATTTATTGAAGACTTGGGCAATGCAGACCAATGAGATCTATAGTGCAAGTAAATATACTTAAGTATCGGTTCGTAAATTGGCAGGAATCGGTTTTAGGATCTTAATACTAAGCGTTTCAATTAGCTAGGGAGCTGGCGGGCTAAATATCTATATCATTTGCTCATATGGCAGACATTTTAAATCGATAATTATTCGCGAAGGAATATTAAGGACCACGTCTGCCACAATGGTAGCGCTGCGTTGACAATTAACATACCCTTAAAAGTGTTAAGAAAAACAGGTATACTAAATGATTTAAATCAGAGACTTCTACTTCTAGATTTAAGTTTTTTTCGTTACCTAAATGGTATTGATCATATCTAAATGATATCTCCAGAGGTAGACACAAGCAAATGATTTAGTATCGATTTTTTTTAAACCCCTGTAGCTTGAAAACGCAGCAACGTACGATATTCATTCATTAAGAAAATTTTGTATTGATACGAAAATTAATTCCTATCAATACGAAATACGAGTAAATCATATACTTTAATGCTCACCAGCTCTCTAGCTATACATATATTGTATATTTTCCGGTAAATAATTTGGTCAGTTTTATTAGAGGACAACTCGCTTTTAGCACAAATACAATTCGCGAACATTCCCTTATAAACCCTGAGAAACCTTGTCAAGTTACCAATTAGGAACCAATTACGTGCCGATACCAATAAGTATTAAGAATCATAATCCTGGTAAACGTGAGTAAAAGGATTTCTAGAATTCAGTCTACGCACGTTTACGGACCGGAAACAAATCGCTTGACAACTGACATTTCTGAAATCATTCGTAATTAAACGGAGTAAATCTGAGCCCCTTTGAAGTACGCTACTTCTATTTTAGTGAGAACGCTGTAAAATGGTCTAAATCGTCTACAAATCCTAATTATTGTACCTATACGGTGGTATAAAATTGAAATTTGGGTCTAATCTTAATTTCTTATAAAACGGCAGTGACGCGATATTAAAACTAACATTGAACATATTGAGCACATTTCTATTGAATTTTCTAGACTTGGCCGTGAATAAAGGAACATAAATCAAATCACATTTATATGTCCGAATACACAAGTCAATCTAATATAAACTGTTTTATATATTTGAGTAAACCTTATGTATTCGGATAGTATATCAAGCCATTTTCCCTCGATAGAAACATTCACTTAACATTAATCGCGTTGATAAAGTGCAACTACGAGTACAATTTGTACGCTTTATACTGGACGGATAACTCAACTCAAGCAAATGAGCATCCAGCTATGACCGTTTTATCGAAAATTAATGGCAATACATTACACCGCATTCGCATGAAATTCTTTGGTTTATTTGAAGAGGATGCCAGCTCCTCAGTGCCCAGCACGAATTACGTACAAAACAATTTAAGTACAGTCAAGTCCGCTTCGGTAGTGTTATTACGAAATCAAGCTAACCATATAGTATGATACACACATTACAATCGCTCGATCAATCGAGAAAATTAGCTAAAGCCAGTTGTAAAACTTTATTCTATTCATTAATTTAACCATATTCGACATAGCATTTGTAATATGAAAAGGTTCTGCTATAGATAAAGGCTTGAGAAGGCTTTCTATTGCTTATTTATGAACATTATCCAAATATATATGTCGGAGCAATGGCGCTGGTATCAGCTGCCATTTTCATTATTTAATAAGTTCAAAGTCAAATTAGTTCAAATCAGTTATATGGTTTATTTGATATTGATTTGCCAATATTAATAGATCTAAAAATTAACAGACTATTTAATCTGTAGTAATTCAATAGCCTTTATTATTTATGTTGAAGCAATGGTGATAGTGTCAGCTGCCATTGCTCCGACATATATAAATGATCACATTTGTACTAAGTTGTACTTTGTTTATGACAAAAGCGCTCATGCGATAATAACCCCTAATGCAATTTCGTAATAACCATACCGGTCTAAATTCTATGTCATATTGTCGCTTGAATTCCATAAATCAAATCCTAAGCTAAGCTAGAACTTTATAGAACTGGGAGGGAGGGCGTTCCCAAATGTGGGGCAATGGGTGTGATTGGGGTCAGGGGCGTAAGGGGGGTCGTCGTGGCAGAAGGGGGTACTGTAGTAGCGGGAGTGTCTTGAGGGGGTTCAGCGGCTCTCACCAAAGTCCTGCGAAGGTCTTGAGCGCGGGAAGCAAGATGCCTTGCAGCTTCCGCCATCTCTGCTACGGCGTTTGCGCAAGGGAACTGTTGTGCTGCGGATTTGGTTTTTGCGACTGTTGCAGCCAGCGCATCGGAAAGCGCGTCTGAACATCGCAGCATCTTCGCTTTTAGGCCTGCGTGCTGAGCGCTCCTAAGAGATTCAAGAATTATTATTTCCATATAGACAAAGCATTTCGTATTTTCTTAAAATAAAATATCTGGGGCGAACTTTATATATGAGAGTTCAATAGTCATTAGTTCTGAAATCTACAAAAATATCCTTTTACTGAACTTCATACCATAGACCATACCTACGCCATACGAATAGATTTGCGATCTCATCAAAATACATTCACCATTCATAAAAGTACCTAGTTTCTTCAAAGAAGATTTTATCTAATAAATATTTAGTTAAATACAAATTAAACGTAAAATGCTTACCTATGCACAGTATCGCCAACATGCACTATCCTATGCGCGCTAAGCACCACAAACTTGCCATGTGCCAAAAATACGTCTGGAGGTTGTCCCATCTCTATGGTTCTGAGGAATGCTTCGACGGCCGTAGACAAATGCGCGCCGTAAGTCGCGGTCTGAGCCGCGTAAAAAGCAGCCAACTGACGATCGTCTGGAGGCAGATGAGTGGCAGCTGCGACCGCGCTCACCTTATAAAAAGAAAATATTACGAATGTAAAAAAATATATGGAGTAAAAGATTCAAGAGATCTTTGTTAAAATAAAGTTATACCAATATTTATGGTATTTATAGTGAAGAAGCTTTTACGCAAACTGCTTCTAGAAGTTAATAAGAAAACAGCAGCGCTACAACTCTATGGGTTCTGGCCTCAGATCTGTTTCTTTTTACGTAGGTCATGTCATATGTGCCTGACACACGATAGGAGCATAAGACAGATTCCTCACAATGTTTTTCTTTACCGTCTGAGCAAGTATTTATTGCGCACATAAAAAAATCCACAGGCAGGATTTCAATGAGCGACACATAGTTTTGATAGAATTTAATTGAATTGTTATACTTTCACTTAGAGCTCCCAAGATCCTTCAAGAAACAAGGTACATTAAAATATCTTAACTTTAGAAATCAAGTACTTCTATTATCATTGTCAGCGCTTTTTATAGTTTAAAAAACTTTTAGTACGACTGGCTTTTGCCTTTTTTTTTTAAATTATATGTAATAGGGGGAGCCTACAGTACGCCCAAAAATGACAGTCTTCGCAGCCCATAGACTCCGATTTTTAGTGCCTTTGAAAAAATTTGCCGCGTAAACAAGGAAAGTTACGTTTTTACAATAAATTACCTTAAAGCCAATTACCTTAGACATCACAGTAACATTACAATAACCAAATAGGCATATAATATTTTGTCATATTTACCTCGCCAGCATGGTCTGCATCCCGCACCAACGCGTCAAACGAAGCGCGTAATTTGTCAGGAAGTGCAGCGCGTATTTCTGCGTTCCGTCGTCCCGCCGCCGATCGCGACTCCAGACGCACGTAGTCGTACTCCTCCGTCCATTCGTGTTCTGGAACTGTTGCTGACCGTCTGAAAATTTATAATTAATTCTGAGTCAGTGCTGTCTTTATCGGCACAGACTAAGTTACGCTTGTAGCATTCTTAAGTTGCCAGAATACATTTTGTTTTCATGATCGAGATGACAGCTTAAAAAATCAATTACTATTGTTAATTTATAAAGCACTTACAATGTTTATATAATATTGTTTAGTTATTAGAAAAAAATAAAAACATTCAGCCACATCCTTTAACATCCTATTACACATTCTGAACTCTAAGTTTTTGAAGAAATTTAGAAATAACATTAAAAGAAATAGAACTTTGATAAGTGATGAGGCTAATTGCTTCACCGCGCAGAGTCAATGTGGAAAACAGGTTGTGTTTTGACAGTTTAAATTAAAATTAAATTGTATTCAATAATTAAAGTAAACATTGGTGTGAGAGCAGTATGAACTATTAGATATACAATTGAATTACGTATATATATAGAAGATGTTAAATTTGGATTAAAAATGGTTTTGGTCTGTGTAAATATTATATGATTTAAGTTATAAAAATACTTGTAATCACTGTTTAGGTTAAGAGTATACGATTTTTTAGACATATACAAGTTGTCATAATTTTATATTCGTTTTGACACTAACCTGAACAATAGCGAAGCATTTCCATGTATAAAAGACGCTGCACGCCTTACATCCTCAGTTAAAGACCTGGCGCACGCCACGAGCTGATCCAACGCATCCTGGGTCCCATCTGTAGGCTCTCGGTCCCTTTCTAGCCTTTCTGGGGCCCAGTCACCGGCATCCAGGGCGCTGGTGGCCTCATGCGTAATACGCTCAGCGTCCTTCAGCGCTTTGACTAGGGGCCGTAATTTCACTGCGATACCTGAGAAAAAAATTCTTGCTATACTAAAAACAAAAATTATTTTTTAGATAACATACTTATGAACGTCAGAGTTTTTTATTTATTTACAAAAAACACAATTCTGTCTGATCAGGTGACCCTAAATCAAAAAAAAAAAATATAATAAATAAATTGGGAAAAGCTAAAGAATTATTATACGGTAAAAGAAAACATCGTAATTATTCTGCCTTATTGAATCGACAAGTGCCATACCCAGAAGGCTGATCACATACTTGCATATTAAAACAAATCTAAGGCCAGTACTCATATTGGGTACAACCCAAGATGAGCACCACATCTACTATATAAAAATAAGTCGGGTTTTCCTTCCTGACGCTATAACTCCAGAACGCACGAACCGATTTCCACGGTTTTGCATTCGTTGGAAAGGTCTCAACATAAAAGCGGGATCACCAAACGAAATGTTACATAAAACGCAGCCATCTGGTGGCGAAACGGAGTTCGCCGAGTTTGCTAGTTATGTAATAAATTTCAGTTGATATCTAATACATAGTAATAAGTACCCCAAACACTACGATATTCACCATTGTAGTACTTATTACTATAATAAACTCCTCTCTATTCACGTACGCGTAACATTAAATCATGCGTTACAAATTGGTGTAATGAACAGTCAGAAAGGGACGCAGATTGAGTTACCCTATGATTCTACTAAAAAATATTTTATTGCTACGGTACGACGGGTTATTAAACGCTCTTAATATTAAGTTTTAATACTTATAATAATGAATATCTACGGGAATATCTTAAACTGTTGTCAAATTAACGCGTATTTCAAACTATTTATGTTTTATTCCACGCGAATAGTATTTGAGAAGTCCATAGAAATTTAACCAGAAGTCACGCATCCAATATGTTATGACTTCTGCAGGGATAGCGCAAACAACCTTCAAATAGTCTAGTTTAAAAGTGTAACGATGTGTCGTGATTACCTCATTGATTGTATATCTTCTATTGACGAAAAGCTGTTTAAGCAAACATTAAAAAAATATTTAAATATATCTGTCAACTGATCTGTCGCTCCCAAATAAGGTTTCCCTGGGACGACCTCCAACTATTAAATAAAGAACATACTTTACATAGGTGTCCATGGGTTGCTATAGTTGTTGTGGTTGTTTGCACGCTTGCCCTGCTGGCAGATAATTAAAAATAATAATAAGGCTACCCATAGGCGCTATTTGAGGTACCAAAAGTGTTAAGTACCTTTGTCTTGTGCATCGTGCGCATTGGCCAATGTAGCGTCAGCAAACACAGCTAGATCGTGTAACGCGGCGCGTAACCTTGCGCCTGCGACGCGTACGTCTAGAACGCGGGGTCGCAATGCGCCTCGCCGTCGCCATCCAGGGGACACGTATGAAAGAAGTCGAGATACTGCTGCTGATGCTTCTTCCTGGAATAGAGATGCCTTCGATTAACAAGGTACTAAAAGCTTAGGACTCTTCTAAGGTTTCCCTGTTTTTATTGGAAGGATACTGAACATATCTGAACATATTGCGTGTTGTTCCCACGAGAATGTAAGTGCGTGCTCCTATTTCTTCTCTTCCGTTCCGTTCTACGATTTGAGAACTGGCAGTAATACTAGAAGCATTTCATATATATTTATTTTTTGACGTTCATAAGTGTACGTCATTTTGTTACCTATATGAATAAATGATTTTTGAATTTGAATAACTTCTGTAATCTTATTCATAACATACAACTTTGTACTCACTTGTAATCTTTCAAGTGCTTCGAGCGCTGCATCACACGGTAGAGGTAACGCTCGCGACCGCGGCACATCATATGTGCTTGAAGCGGACGCTGCTGAATGGGCTGAACTTCCCGAATTTGCTGAAGCACTAGACGTTGCTGAGGTAAGCGAACCGGTGCCGCTGCAAGCGGAGTCAGCGCTGGCGGGCCGCGGCGCTCTTGGTGCATCGTACCAGTCAGCGGTTGGCCTTGGACAGTCGTATGTGCCGAGACGCTGGACCGGCATGGGCGCGCGTGGTACGTCGTAGTGTGAACATTCTTCGATCTAGAAAATTGCAAGGAAGTTAGTAACCTCTTCCAGACGGGGGAGTGTGTTTGATCAGGAGATTTATGATTTTTAGATATTAGGTATTACTAATTTAAAAACTTGAATAAATCAGTGGCGCTACAACCTTTTTTGGTCTTTACCTCAGATTTCTGAATCTGTTTCATGATCACTTAGCAATCTAATAGGCAAGTAGACGATCAGTCTCCTGTGCCTGACACACGCCGTCGACTTTTTGGGTCTAAGACAAGCCGGTTTCCTCACGATGTTTTCCTTTCCCGGTTTAAGCGAATATTAAATGCGCACATAGAAACAAAGTCCATTGCACAGTCGGGGATCGATCCTACGACGTCAGGGATGAGAGTCGCACGCTGAAGCAGTAAGAATTACTGGACACAAATATTAACATTGTAGCTTGTAGATTGTAGAATTAATTTCATGTGCTATTTTGTAACTATTTTACAAAATTTTACTACGATCGGTGATTGAATTTAGTAAAAAAAAACATGAAATCTTTGTTTACAAAATGTTTAATTCATTCGAGGAAAGAAATACCGTTTTCCCCTTACGTTTCAGTGATTTGTAATAACTTGTTTACTATGATGCAATGTATATGTGACCAATGATCACGTCAATATAGATTCGGGATTCATTTATCCAATAGGAAGTATGTCTAATTTTGTTTGAACATAAAATATTGGTATCAATGAATTGCACTATATTTCTTAGCTTTTTCTCAGATCAGACTGCGTTCTTAAGCATTTTGAATTTCTTACAGAAATAAAGTGTGCCTGTAGTTCTGATGAATAGAAAAATTAAAACTGATACAAAACAGAAATTATGTTTAATAATACTAATAAAACTCTAAGCGAAATATTGTTTTTACATTGTCAATATTAATTTACATTGATTTAGGTTGATAAGTACAAAGCACTTGCTTTAATTACAACTTACTTTTGTAAAGGCTGGTGACTGCGTGGGCAAGGGCTGGTGGGCGACAGGCGCAGGTGTTCGCGTCCGTCGCCTTTGTGTGCTGCTTCCATCGAACACCCCGGCTACTATACGTAGGCGGTTTCCCGGACATATGCCCTGGAAAAGAGAATGACACTTAATCAATTGATTTTTGCAGTAGCTTCACCAATTTTACCCTGGATTTTGACTAAAAATCAGTGCCACTTGCGGAAATCTGTCAGCATTCGTAAGTGTATGGCGTGATTGCGTATCATCATTTAAACAAATGACGCGGAAACAATATTTTTAACAGGATAGAATAGATTCTTTTTCTTGTTCTTCCAGACTCTGGTTACGTACGGGACGTCAGTTATATACGTTTACACATACGTCTTACTTGGCTAAATTAAAAAACCCATAAATTTTCATCAAAATAATGTCACAATTGCGTGCGTGCAGTGTCATTTAAAAGGCCCATCACATTACACAGCTCCCATGAAGGAACTTTCTGAACACTTCCAGAATACTCGCTTCTGCGAAAAGTACTATGGCGAAAGAGCTTTTATAATAAATGCGTAATTAATACCGGCTCCTCATGTAATTTCCTTTTCATGTTTCTCTTACATTAAAATTAAATGCAATTAAATTTCCCTTATTTACTTAGCATGTAATGAAAATAAATATACTTTCTCTACATGCAGTGATAAATTAAATCCTGTATGAGGCTTTAACTTGGAGCTCTCTAGTAATAATTTATGTTTCTTTTTGACTGGTTTATTATTAAAGTGGTTGTAATTATTTATAAATATATATATATATATAAAGTAGACAAATAAATAGACGATTTGTGTCTAGAATTTTGAATGTAGAAATTCACGGTTCAACAGATATAGAAACTTGGCCCATATGCTCCTAAGCAAATTGTTCAAAAAAAAAAATCTAGATGTATACCTGTCTGCCCCTCAGCGAGCAGAGCCACCAGCCGTCGCTGCCACCCGTGTTCTGCTCCAGCACGGTGAGCAGGTCTCCTCGTCTGAATGCCAGTTCGTCAGGCGACTCTGCTATGTTATCGTACAACGCTCGCGCCATACACTGCAACAATAAGGGAAATTTAAAACATATTTCAAAGTTTAATAGATTTTAAATTTTGAAAACTACTTATTTAATTGGTCAAGCAGTTAATATGTTAGAATGTAATATGATCATTCAACGGGTTTTGAAGAAATATTTGTTAGAGATTTTTTAGTGTAAGCTTTATGCTTTGGTTAAAAAGGTTTTGTTTGTAAACAGATACCATTTATTTTACGATTCTCAACCCTGAGGTCGCAGGTTCGATTCTCGGCTGTGTACCAAAGGACTTTCTATCTATGTGCGTATTTAACATTTGCTCGAACGGTGAAGGAAAACATCGTGGGGAAACCGATTTGCCTTCCAACCCAAAAAGTCGACGGCGTCAGGCACAGGAGGCTGATCATCTGCCTATTAGATTGATAAATGATCATGAAATACAGAAATCAGGCCAAGACCTAAAGGGGTTGAAGCGCCACTGATTTAATTTTACATACAACATACAAACTTCAGACATTCAACGTATAACTTCCGCCTAATTTCACAGCAATTAATGGACCTCATAGGAGATGTCTTTCATCTCGAACATATATTATCCTAAAGGGTGCAACAATGTTAAATGTTAACAAGGATACCATTAATCGTATATTCCCGTTTAACCCCATAAATGAATCGAATCACAAACCGTTATTTGTTAACTCAATTGGCGGATAACTAAGTAGTCGAGATATCCTGTCTTGACGAAGGGATACGTATAAAATATCAGAAGGCAAAGTTATAGCATGACAAAAGTTCATCCTTGCGAACGGTATTTGCAGTCAAACAGTTTACGTTTCTCTATTCTTTTTTCTTCTTTTAATTCTTAAAAAGCTCTCCATGAATCCACAATTATCGTTTCTGTAGTATACCTGTATTCAACTATAGCTTTTATTATAACTGTCTTATACTAACTATATTATATGGAAAAAATAAAATAAAATATTTTTAATTTATCATAATTTTTTATTATTTTGTTTTATAATATTATAATTAATTCTCGATATTGCAACACACATGAAATTTAGTCACAGGCTCCTGGAACACAGTTCTACATCAGGACCCTGTAATACGTGATTATGTAACTTGTTATTGACAGTAAATAAAATTATTATTACGAATGCATAGTAAAACTACTGCTAAGTAATAATACTGCTAGGTATGCATATTTTGGATGGCTAAGAATGAATATTTGTTGTAATTTAACCGTTGACAAGGTAGATACACATTTGTCAAGATGACAATTGACAAACGCATCTATTAGTAATACTAGATAAATAATGTACTAGAGTCTGGCTAATGAAAGAAGATAACGAGCACGGCAAATTCAAAAATTTTTTGTATGGTATCCCTAAAATTTTATATATTTTGTAGATTAAACTTACTTGATACTTGATTTTATTTTATTATTTTTTACATTGATAGTAACTGTATTTCTATGAAATTAAAATAATTAATACTATACGTATTTAGTATTTTACTATTGATACTTAAAATGACTAGGATTGCATGGAAAACTAAAACTATATTTATTATAAAACACAACTTTATTCGGAATAATCAAATCATGCGAAAGAAACGAAATATTCTATAAAATAAAACAAAGTTTAGGCTATTAACTATTCGGAAAAAATATATAATAGAAATAAAAATGAGTAATTGCATGAAGTATCAAGACAATAAATCATACTAACCTAAGAAATTCAATGACATTCTCTGTTGCCATCCGAAAGATTTCAAATAATTCAATCATCTTCTTTCATTAGCGAGACTCTAACTTCAGCGATATACGGATGCGATGACGTTGATATATTTCGACTTTTATGAAAGAGACAATGCCAGAGAACACGGAATATCACTTACACGACATTTCATTCACATAATAAAAATCCTTACCGAGACGTATAAATCTAGTTTCACGTAGATTCCGACTGAGTGCTTCTAGTACGATGCGATCGAGTATATTCCCGAAGCTTACCGATGGTTAAGCAATCACTTAACCGGCAACTGGGTTTATAGGTCCGGGAACGTTACAGTAAAAACATCGTTATTTTATTTACTGCCGTAAAATGTGTGGATTAAATCGCACGTGAGCTAATAAAATTACTAATAAAATTATGACGAAAGCTGCGTATGAAACTTTCGAATTATGGATTAATAAACCAGTGGCGCTTACGCCCTTTATCATGATTGATTATTTATAGTTTTGTGCTTGACGTCAACAATTTTCCTTCACGATACGTGGATCTTTCGCGCACGTTGAAACAAAAATTTGGTGTATTCTGAAGCACAATAAAGGGTAGTACAGTCCTACATCACATATAATCACGTAATTATATAATTAAATTCGTACTCTGAAACATTTGCAAAGCCACTTTTAACTCTTGACTTTTCTCATTACGTAATAAGTTTTACTGAGAGAGATATATTAAGTGCAGTAAGTCTTGAAAATGTTCATGTAATCCAAGCTCAAAGAACGAGAAAAATTCTAACAAAACTGTCACATTGTTTGATAAATTCTAATTAAACAATTGTAGCAACTATTATTCATTATCCTATTTTTAAACAAAACTTTCTTATGATTATCCTTGTTCCACAAAGGCACCTAATTGGTGTAGTTTTAACATAATTTATGCAGAGTGCTTGCGGAAGATTAAAACGCCTGGAATAATTTATAATAATAGTTTCTGCTTAGACCGAGAAATGTTTATCGATTACATAGTTGAGATTTATGGGTGTATCCGCACCATTTGAGCGCAGTATCTGTCTGTAGAGCTTATAATATCTGGATGAGCTTTATTATATATTGTACAATATTCAATACTTAAATTAATAGAACAAAGTTTAAGTTAAGGTATATACGCACATCGTCATTCAATAGTAAAACGTTTTTCGATCCAAATACAGAAGCATAAATTGAGAAAAGGTGAAACAGTTCTACATTATAGACGAACTGGCCAGTTATTCATCTTTATAGTATAACAAAAATACGGGTAAAATAAAACTACGCGCAACTTAAGAACACGACTCTTGAGAAATTTTGCATATGTGCTTGGAAGGGGCTTCGAACATAAATCATACACCTAAAACAAAAAACTTATTTTTTATGTCAGTTAAAACCCGTGTTTTATTGTCGAATTCGTTTAAACGTTCGCATTTCAAAACTGTGCAATTTAAAAAGCGAAATTTAGTTAGTCTAATTAATTTGCATTTGAAACAACGCGTCCCAAATCTTGCGATAACGATGAATTGCATTGTGCAAGCGTGGGCGACACATTGGGGCAGGCCATGTCCGCTTCCCCAACGCAATCGCTTATGCAATAGATACGAATGGCTATCAAAATTGCACACTGGAGGATGTACTTCGACGAATCTCAATAAGTTGAAACATTTAATAACTCGAAGTCATAAAGTAAGAAATTATTTTGTTTATACGTGTGGCTGGAAAAATTCAGAGACTACAAAATTAGTTATGTGCGTCAGATCTCTGTATCGGTTTCATGATCATTTGTCAATCGTATAAACTCAGATCAGCCTTCTGTTCCTGTCACACGCCGACGAATTTTTGGGTCTAAGGCAAGAGGGATTGCTCACGATGTTTTCCTTCACAGTTCGAGCGAATATAAAATTTGCACATAGACAGAATGTCCATTTGTGCACAGCCGGGGATCGAACCTACGACCTCAGGGATGAGAGTGCTGACGCCACTAGGTTAATTTCTGCCATTTTAATTCTATTATATATATTAATTGTCTAGTTGGGTGATTTTCATGTCATAATACAGTTAGGAAACAAATTAAACGTTGAAAAGATTCATGAATAAATATATATATATTATTATTAAAAATTTAAGTTGGCGCCTAGTAGATAGTACCGGTGAACCCAGAGCTGGTACTTGCCTGGCTCAACGAATAACTATCGCAATACAGCGAGGAAATGCTGCCAGCGTTAAAGGTACACTGCCACAGGTACCAAACTTTTCAAATTTGTTTTGATTTTCTTTTTAATAATTTTTGTTACTACTTTTTAGGTTAAGAAAATTGTAAATACTATATACTTGATTGTAAATAAAAATATTATATTCCAATAGTTAATATATGTACATATTATTTACTTTTCAGTTATTTAATTTATCAAAATTCGTGTTTTTTTAATAACAAACTCACCCATTTTTTCGAAGGTTTCCTATTAAGGCCTGACTTACAATGGCAAGCACATGACTTCCTCCGAAAACTCTTAATTAAATTAATAAACTTTGCACTATAAACCATTTGGATCAACACATGCGCTCCGTTCAAATAAACGCAAAACACTAAATCAAAACAACTGAATTATGGCAATGGGAATAATTTTCAAGATGATTCAGGCGTAAGATCAATGACGTCATTAATATTAATAAACATGATTTTTGGAGGTTAATTACCTATTATTACGTGTGATTCGACATGTAGCTCATTAAAATCATAGTGTAATTGAATTTCTGATATTTTATTTTTCACTTATAATACCACAAGAGAAAAACTTGACGACTTTATTTGTTTGCAGGGAACCTTGAGGGAAATGCCAGATAATTTTGAAGCTCGTGTGGTATTCGGGGGATTATTTTTCCGACCCAAATGTCGGCCAATATAATTGCACCATGAGACGAAATGTACAGTTAACAAATAAGAATTTCATAATGAATAAAACAACTACTTAATACTTTTCTTGAAGCAACTACCAGAGAAAATTTTCAAAAAATTATCAGTATAATACCATGTAGGTTGTACCACGTGACGTCGAATGGTGCAATTCTATTGGTCGATATTTGGGTCGGAAAAATAATCGTCACAATTAAAACTATAATACCAAATTATTTTTCTAGTATTCTAACGATATACCATTATTTACTATGTTTGAGTAGTAATTTTAATTAATATTATTCTACATGATACTGTCCAGCGAAATAATGATTATTTCGGACAAATATCGTGCCGTATTAATTA